TCATTTATTTTATGTTAGATTTTCTATGAATGAACAGCGTTTCAGAAAATTTATGGACTCACTGTTGGAAATAACCATAATGAGAATTACATATACAAACTTGCTATAGTATAAAAAGAAGACTATGGTCAACCACACACACACCCATCTTACACCAAACAACCCTGCTACTGATATGGGAAAACATTAAGCCTATACCCTTGAAGAAAATTATCCTTATTTTTGCTATCTAACTGTCAAACAGCTCACGAAGATCAACAGCATAAACAAATATTCTGCAGATTTAAAGCTCACAAGATTTAGTAACCCAATCTTGCTTTCACCTTACTGCCTGCTGATTCCACTATATCACAAAAATACAACTTATCTTGAAACTTCATAACTTTCCTAAGTTAAAGACTGATTACTGAAATTCGGACTTGTCTGCTTCTTTGTCAGAACTCATGAAAAGCTTATAACCCCTCACTTGTCTGCTTTCACTTTCTCAGAACCTGCCAGGCTGGGAGGGGCTTTGAGCAACCTGGTCTATTGGAAGGTGTCCCTGCCCATGGCAGGGGGGTTGGAACTACATGAGCTTTAAGGTCCCTTCCAACCCAAACCAGTCAATTATTTGGGTTGACATAACATATATTAACTCTTCTTATAAACCTCACTTAAATGAAACTAAATTTAGCAATACTTACGTTCTACAACTTTCATGAATTCAGTTATCTGATGGAAGAACATGAACAGAACTAGTAGGATCTCATGAATAATCACAGAATCATAGAATCATAGAATAATTAGGGTTGGAAAAGACCTTAAGATCATCTAGTTCCAACCCCCCTGCTGTGGGCAGGGACACCTTACGCTTATCACCCAAGGCCTCATCCAACCTGGTCTTGAACGCTGCCAGGGATGGAGCATTCACAGCCTCCCTGGGCAACCTATTCCAGTGCCTCACCACCCTAACAGGAAAGAATTTCCTCCTTATATCCAATCTAAACTTCCCCTGTTTAAGTTTTAACCCATTACCCTTTGTCCTATCACTAGAGTCTCTAATGAAGAGTCCCTCCCCAGCATCCCTATAGGCCCCTTCAGATACTGGAAGGCTGCTATGAGGTCTCCATGCAGCCTTCTCTTCTCCAGGCTCAACAGCCCCAACTTCCTCACTAGTATATCATCTGCAATACCACTCCTACCAAATACAAATTGTTGTCCCAGCTTGCCAACTAAAAGGAAAGAAAAATCCAACTATATTAAGGTACCTGAAGCATGACTTCAAGCAGTTTGTGCACTACATGATATTTATGAATATTAAAAAGGTTAGTTTTCTCAAAATGCTTCTACTTTGGTTGCTCAGAAGATGAAATCTAGTATGTCTTTTAATCAGTCAGTCCCTACATTTGCAAATCTTCAGAGGAAAGAAACATATGCCAAAAAAAATTGGAATTACAAACAGTAATTTACAGTAAAATATGAAAATACTTAAACCACAGATTTTTCTGTGCCTGTGTCCAATTTACAGCAATGACATGATAAACAAGATGAAATATGGCAAACGTCAGCTTTTTGATGTATAAAAATATAAAAGTTTTTTCTACCTAAAAATGGATCTGAAATTTATCTATGAGGTCCAACTGAAAAAAAGGGTTCCACCCTTTATATGGTCATTATAATGAAATATCATCTGATGAGTATCTGAAAATATTCTTTAAAACTAGTTTACAGAACACACAATGTTCTGTAGCATGATTATCCTCTTGCATGTAATACTGTACAACAGAATTGTAATTTCTTGCTTGCTAGCTTCTAAAATTATAATTCAGCATATATTTGTCAAAATCCCTATAGTAACATAAAATATCATGCAGAGTAACAGCTTTGTGCCAATCTGCAATAATGTTACTTTTTAGTTTGCAGAGATGCATGAGTATGAACTGACAACTTCACATTTTCACATCAATTCTGTCAAATGTAGCTTATGTTTCCCTATACTTTAATTTGGGATCTGTAATAGAACAGATTCTAGAAAACTTGCCATAATAGTTTGGAGATTGTGAATGTATAAATGTGAAACTTCTCAAACTCTTAGGAAGCAAAGTGTTTACCATGTGAAATCAAAATGTCATTTACCACATATTTTGAGTAAGCTATTTGGGGTACATTACCACAGTGTCATTTGGGCATGCAAAATAAATCTATGCTCATAGCTACACTCCAAAAAAAGGTAGTTCTATGAATGACAGCATGTTATGAGAGCCTTTTAGGACCTTACAAGGTAAACATAAATAACAAATATTTATGTATCTGTCAATTTTGAAGGACAACCACACATACAGTTGATATTTAAAAGAAATATAAGGAAGAGTCACTCTGTTCGTGTTGGGTTTCAAGCTCTCTAATGCTTCGCTTCTGATCTCTAATGTTATTAAGTTGTATTGATGCACTCAAATAATGATAGTAAATTTCTCAATCCTATTTTTAATACAGGCTAACAAGCATTCATTTTCACATATAGGTGTTTGTGGTTATATTCACTGAAAAAATCATATTGTACTATGATGTACTTTCATCATATGACTGGGTGGACAGATACCATGCAGTCAAATAACTCAGAAATGAATTCCCAAATCAGCAAGCACATGCCCATTCATTTACATTGCCTCCAATTTTGTCATAATACTGACGGAACTTGCAGATTGTCTCAAAATCTTTTGAATGTTAAACAACACATAATAGTTTTGAAGCCAGGAAAAAAGAGCAATTCTGCCTCTTTTTTTTTTTTTTTTTAATAATCAGAAATAATTCCTGCAGAAATCAACAAACAAATGTTATATATTGGTCACAACATGAAAGTTTCATACCTTTCTAAAACACGCACTTCATTTTAAAGATACGTAAATCATGTCTTTTGTTCCAGTAATTTCTGTATCAGATTCTGCAACATGCATTTTGAATACAGATCATTAAATGATTTTCCAATTTTAAAAATCTGCAGAACAATGCTCTGCCTTCCCGGTTGTCTTCCTGCTCTACTGGCCACTACTTCAGTGTCTGAATAATTCAATGTGTTTTCCCATAGAAAAAGGTAAAATCAGGGTAATTTTCCTTTAGTGTTTTCTTTTTTAATGACTTCATCTAGTAATTAGTTTTGCAGCCAGCCTCTATTTACATTTACTTTTATGTCCTGTTGATCTGAATCAGTTCTAGCTCTGACATTCCCTGTCAAAAAAATTGGTAGTTTTTCTTCACTGCTTCCCAACACTTTTGCTTGCTGACTGAAACAAGGTCTTGTTTCCATCTGGCTCTCAAAGTTAATTCATACTCCAGTATCTTTTTCATGCACAAATAAACTCTTTTGGGGTTTTTCTTTTTTTTTCCCCAGATATCTCAACCCTTTAAAAATGAGTCTTACAGTTAGTATTTTGAAGGTCTGGAGAAACGTTGCAAGTGATGTAGCAATTCACAGCTCCTCAATCTCTTTCCAAATCCAAATCATTATCTTAGGCTGTCTTCTATGCCAAAAGTGCACAGCGCCACATGTTGCTTTCTGTGGACCCTTCTGTTGCACTCAACGTGCTTTCCTGTCTCACATGTCATTTAACGCAGCATTTCACAGCGAAAGCTAGATGAGATCTATCTCTGCTCTGCAAGCTTTGGCATGATACAGGTTTTTCTCAGCTAAGTGCTTTGTCAGAGATTTTATTACCTTAGTTCTGAAATGGATCTCTTCGCCTGGGCTCAGTCCCCCCAAATACCATTCCTTTCAGATGCTTTATCTTCATTTCTGTGCCCTGACTGAAAGCGTACTAGTGGCATGTTTCCCTTCTGCTTGAACTGCAGTAAATTCAGTCACACAGTTTCATAGCTGGCTTCCTCTGGACTTACTTGAAAATTGCTAAAAATATGAAGTGCCTCTTAAATTGGTCTTGTCAGAAACAAAACTGCTTTCTCTCTTCCTCTGCCAGACACACAGTATTACAGATAAGCAGTGTTTTAAGCCTTTTCCAGCTGTCCTCCACGTTTCCAGAGCCTCAAGTTGAAAGACTTTTAATTGTTACATCTTTGCACTCCTGTGAAGGGTTTTTTTGTGGGGGTTCATTTTATTTCTGTTCTTCAGAAATTGGTCGCAGCAAAGGAGCCTGACAGGAGATTCATTTCTGAACGAACAAGATGAAACTTATAAATGAGACTATCAGCACAACTGCCACTACCGACAGCTCCTAAAGAGCAACTCCTCCCAACATAGCTATACCTTACCTGTTCCAAATACACCCCTTTTACCCCGGAAAAGGGTACGACAACTTAGCAGTGATGGCGACAGCACTGTCACCAAAGGGCAGAAACAGCTTCGGCACACGGTAAAGTAATGGATCGGCATGGGGGTGGCCGCAAGAAGGCAGAGGGTAGAAAAAGTCAGAGCAGCTCGGCAGGGTGGCGTTTATTCAAGCTTTTAACACATGAGGCCTGACCGCGATGGCAAGGCGGGCCATGAGGCATGTCACCGTGAGGCGGGTATGGCGGCGCCGCCACCGAGCGCTCCGCAGGCGGCCCCAGCAGCCCACGCGCAGCAGCAGCCCGCTCCGCCGCCGCCACAGCTCCGGGGATCGCCGCATCTCCCCGAGCAACGGCTCCGTGGCCGACATCGGGCCGCGCCCCTGAACGGGCCCTTCCCTCTGGGCCCGCGATCCCGCGCCCTGGCCCCTGCCCGCCCCACCCCGACTCACCCCACCCCGACTCGCCCCACCCCTCCCCGCCCCACCCCGACTCGCCCCACCCCGACTCGCCCCACCCCGACTCACCCCACCGCGCCTCCGCGGCGCCGGAAGCCTCCGCCAGGGGGCGCCGCAGCGCCTCGAGCACGGCGTCTGGGCGCGGCTCTACCATCCGGTCCCACAGCCCGCGCGTGTAGAACTCCACCGTGTGGGCGCGGCATAGCGGCAGCGCGAGCGCCAGGAATCGCGACACGCGCCGCAGAGTGCTCTCCGCCGCCGCCGGCGACAGCTGGGGCGGCAGCGTGAGGGCCGCCCGCGACATGGGGCCTGCGCTCGGCTCGCCGGGGCTGCCGCTACGCAGGCAGGTGAATCGAGGACCGAGTGGCTTAGACGGCGGCGCACCTCCGTGACGCCATCTCGTTGCGCGACGCCCGGAGAGCGATGGAGGCGGCGCGGCGCGGGGCGTCAGCTTCTGAAAATGCCAGTGGCGCGGCCCGAGGACCCCGCCGCAAGCGGGTGTGGAGGCCCGACCTGATGCGCAGTGTCGTGGGAAGTGTCCAGGAGGGTGAGTCTGGGGATGGGGGTGCAGCCGCGACTGCCCCCCGGCGGGTCTGAGGCGGTGTCACGGCGGGAGAGTCGGCGCCTCGGGAGGCTCGGCACTGGCCAGACCCGCTGCGCGCAGCCCTAGGCCTCCCGCGTGCTTCCGCGCTGGCTCGACCGTGGCGGACCGGATGAGGACCGGTGTCTGCACAGCTGGCCGGGGCGTCCGGTGTGAGCTGCGTATTTCAGATAGAAGCATATGTGGAAAAAGGTTCAGATTATTGAACGGTAGTTGAGCAAGTGTCAAAAACGAACAGGAAACAGAGCATTGACTTTTGCAGCACTTTCCTGAAATATCAACGTTGGAGAAAGAATCAAAGGAAAAGTAGTGACTGGACTGATCTGGACTTGCTGCCTTTGGAAACGTTTTTAAATTAATATTATAAAAAGTCAGTAGCTCTTAAGACTAATGTAATAAAAATAAGATATTATGATATTAGGAAAAGAACATGTTTGACTTCAACGTCATTATACAGTGATTGAGACTGAAACAGCCATTGTCTGATGTTTCCTTTCAGGCTAAATCATTCTGTGATGTAGCATACTTTTGAAGTGTAGAAGAGCTCTTCCTGGGCGTATGTAGAAAGAAAGTAGTAGCAATAAAAATACTATTTGTATGGAAAGATATGATGGGTTATTAATTCAATGTAATACAGTGATTTAGAGGCTGTTTTCTTTCCTGTGGCATTACAGCTGCAGACTACCGAAGCATCTGATGTTACTATGTCAGTGTCTTCTTGAGATTATCTTTAGGAATCTGCGTTGATATTGCTTATGAAACTGTAAGAAGAGAGAAGTGAAATGCAAGTGAAATGTTAATGCATTTTTTCACTAGGTTCAAAAAGCATTGCTGAATGTATATCATGTTGAGAACGCATTACGAAGTATGTTTACCATGGCATGTTCTCTCAAGGGTTTTAGGCAATAATTTTCAGAAAATTTGTACAAGCTGCAGTGCTACAGTAGGAGACAGGTTTGTAACTGGTTTTTCCTTGAATTTTTTCTGCTCCTTATTAAAATTAGCACAAGTAGTGTGTTTCTCTGGTTTTGTAAAGTAAATGTATTGAAATGGTCCTGACAATAATTGAATGGTTTGATACTACTTTAGTTGTATTTCACTCTTTTTCTTATGTTTTTAGGACGAGGATTTGCATTTCGGAGAAAACAAAAGATCGAAAGACAATACAGGAAATTATTGAGAAAGGGAAAGAAGGTTCATTCACAACAGGATAATCAGTTTACTGATACTTATCCAGAGCACTTGAAGCATCTTTACCTAGCTGAGGAAGAAATGCTCAAGAAACGGCGGCGCAGGGCTCCAGATAATTCACTTTTATCAGAAGAAAAACTTAATGAAGCAGTAGAGTAAGTTTTTTAAATGTGTTTCTAAGAACAAGTAATTGTTTCCATTATTAAAGAAATATTTTAGATCTCACACTTTACATGAACTTCAGTATAGTGATTTCCTTAAAATGCCATTAGATCTTAAATATTTTTCTTATTTGTTAGAAAATTTGAACCTACAGCTTAGTTGTGTTTGAATCAGAATCGGAAAGCAATATGAATGATGTTTAGTCCACAGAAGGTTACCACTGTACTTTAAAGACAAGGTTCAGCCCAAGAGCAATAAATGTTTGACTAATTTCTTACCATATCTACAAAGATGAGAGCCTGCCTTTCAGGTAATGTGCTTTTGCATTTGCAGAATTTTCCTTTGAATTGATGCTGAGTATTTTAAAATCAATGCCACTTTTCAGAAAGGTTGTTCCCAGTTTGATAGATTGTCTTCTTTATATTGCACTGTTTTTCTGCTAGAATGAGCAATATTTTCTGCAATTATACTTTCATGGCATGGCTAATTTTCAGGGAATATAACTATGAGCTTTTTTTTTTTTAAAAAAAAAGGGATTTAGTAAAATCTTAAGGCAGTAAAGTGTTGTTTATCAAAGTAATAATTTTAAACAACAGAAATGTCATTATAGCTTGCCATTGGTGAGGAGTTTTTTTGGGGGTTATTTGTTTGGCTTTTAATTTACTTATAATAACTGAGAAAAGTCCAGTGGAGCTTCTCACTTGTGATCTAACAAATGTCAGCAACTTAAACCTTTTTTTTCCCTGTGTGACAGTAATTCCCCCTGAAATGTTGGTTAGGTATGTCACTAAAATGAAAAGTGTAGTCACTCAGGTCTGACATTGTCTTGACAGTGTTTTAAAACAACATTAAAGTACTGTGACTGAGTTAATCTTTTTTATCCTCAGTACAAGGAGTGTCCTAAGTCTTTGGATTCCAAGATGTATCTGTATTTGAACTTTCTTGAGAAGAACAATCAGGAGAGTGGGTAAAGGCAGTCAGACCTAAGCCCATCAGGGAGAGAAAGGTAGAGTTTTTGTCTGGAATAGGCAGTTAATTCGTGGAGGTGACCAAAATAGGCCTGATGTTTTTCTTTAAACCAGTGGGGGGTTAATTTTACTTAAACTATGGTCAGTGTGGTTGTAAACTACAATTAATATTTCGTCATGCATGTGACTGCTGATCATTGAGGTGGTGTGATGCGTAGAGACTTAGATAGACTTCAGTGTTTTATGGGAATATAAAGTAAGACTTTGTACATAATTCTATTTTTAGCACGTACTGTTACTTTAAGTGGTTTGGTGCTTGAGACGATGAAATGTCATTACATAGTATTGCCACAAGATGGAGATGAGACTAAGGCAAAGATTTTTTGTTTTTTTCTTTTTTCTCCGAAAGAGTGGTACTTCTAAATGAAAGTATGAGCAAATACCTTCTCTTCCCTTTTTGATTGTCTGTCTGAAATCTCCTAGATGACAATGGCAACTTCTCAGATTTTTTAGTGTAATAGAGTCATCAAAAACTTACTTTGTGAGCAGTTCTTAAGTATCTAACAGGGCATGTACTTTTCAACTGTGAAATGTCTTTGCTACCACACTGTTTATGTAATGGATGTGTTGTGAATCAGAAGAAAAAATAATGTGGGACTAAATAACAAGAAAAATCCACTCAAAGTAGTGTGTCAGTAAATGCCAGATGAACAAAATTGGTTTTCTTGAACTGTTTTATTTGGTGAAAGATACCTGGGCAGTTTTTTAATACTGAAATTTTGAGGGAATGTAATTTTAGTTCCTAATCTCAGAACATTAAGGACAATAGTAATGCCATCTCCTTCAAGAAAAAACTTTTAGGAAAGCATTGCAAGGAGGCATTTTCTCCTTGCCATGTTAGCCTGATTTCTCTGGCAGGCAGCCTGCTAACAACTGGCTGTCCTCATATCTCTGCAGGTGCATCCATATGTTAGAACTATAAAGACATAATATGTTCTAAGCTAGTGCATTCAGTTTTTCTAGCTCTGAAGAGCTTGTATGATAAAGGAAGAAAATTTTTAGACACTCTTTAAACTTCATGAAGCATCATCCATGTGAAGATGCAGCAGATAAGTGATATTGGTCCCTAAAAGCTGTGTGTAGGCTGGTCTTTGGTATACTTGGCATTGAAGAAGTTTACTTTGCTGTCTTTTCATGTGAGCTGCTTGTTACATGACATGTAACGGTGTTAGGCATCATGTAAGAGTGGTGCAAATAGGTGACCCATCAGTGTGGAAGGATGGGCCTTCTGAAACCTGTATTTCTAATAAACTTCCCCAAATATGTACAAAATCGTGGAGGAGTGTGCTCTGATTCTGTAGTGGCTATGGGATACATGGTTATGTGTACTTGGTGATAGTCCATAGTTGAAGTACGTGACTTTTTCTTACAGGTCAGTTACGACTGAAGGGAAATGTAAAAAGAAAACATCTAATCAGAAGGCAAAAGAAGAGTATGAGAAAATAAAGGCTGAGCGTGCTAGAAAGAAAGAGGTAAATCTTAAACAGATATATTTATTGATTGTAAACAAAGACTAGATTACCATTTCTATCATTTTGGGTCCATCTGGACCCGAATAGGGCCATAGGAGAGGAACACAGATACAGGTATTCTTTTAGTCTTTTTGAACTTGACAGTAATATTCAGGCATGCAGGTCTTCAAAGTTATCATTGTTTTTGTTCTTACTATTTTTGTCTTGCAATTGCCATGAGCAGGATTTTGTTATGTCAGTTGGTACATCAAGCAAAACTTAGAGCTTCATCTGCATAGCCCAGTGAATTATACTAGACTTCTTAAATATTATAGAAGGGGAAGTAATAACACAAGACCATCATCTTGTGATGAAAAATGAAATATCCATCCTATATCTTAAGGTGTTACCATAATGCAGGCTTCATTTTACTTTCTTATGTTCTTTGACCAACAGCAAAACAATTAAATGTAATGGTATCCATGGCCAAAATCTCATTTGTACCCTCATTCTGATTTAGTGGGACTTATTTTTATAGGGCATATCTTAACATTGTTGACTAGTCAGTTGACTTACTCATTTGAGGCATCCTTATTTAAATAGTTTTGTTCTTTGCCTGTACATTGCTTGTTGCACTGTAAAATGGCACACATCGCAACATCGTAGAAGTTGTGTAACTCACTGCTAACCAACTAAATTTCAGTAACTGCTGTTTAAATACTATAGAAATATATAGCTGGATAAAACATATTATTTCTTCAGTTTAGCTGATTGAAAACTAGTGTAATTCTGTGCCAACTGGTCTGTGATTGTGGGTGAGTTACATGGTTGTTCAGCTGAGAGTTGCTGTTTTGAATATCAGATGCAGATCATGCTAAAACAAATTAATTTTATGACTAGGTTATTTAGAGGAAATGGGAATACACAAAAACCCAGCAAGACTGCAGAGAATTTTCTTTGAGCAGCACATAAGAGTTATGTGAGGAGAGGTGTTAGCATTTTTTGTCTTTTCAAGATATTTAGGCAAAACAAACCGTAGCCAAGGTCCACAGTAACAGTTATCATTTATGGGGAATACTGTGTGATGATCACATACTTTCCCCTCACATATGTTAGCAAACTCTGGATTTGCTGTTACGTATTTTGGGAAAAGAAATAAGCTTAAAGGTACAACTTTTAGCCTCCACACTATATAAAAAAGCTAGGATTTAGTACAGATCAGAATGTAAGTAACAGCCACCTAAGGAAGATGAATGTTCTTGCTTTGAGTAAGCATTTGGTTGGTAGCTTAAATGGATGTTGTTTACAATGGTATGCTGAGCAGCAGTAAAATTATTAGATGGGAAGTGAATTGCAGGTAAGTTAGAGTTGGTGCTACTCTGGTTTGAAAAAAAAAAAAAAGGAATCAATTGTATTTATCATCGTTACAGGAAGATAACTGAAGTGTGCTGAATGGAGAGATGTTAGCTTTGCAGTTTTGTTGTTTGTTTTTTTCCCTGTAGTCTCTTAGATTTCTATTTAGAAATATTTTCTTGTGTTATTTCTAGTTAATTTTATGTTGTACATCATGGGGCATTCTTACTAATTTTTGTACATCACGGAAGCCTACTATGCCATGAAAAACAAAAACATAATTGATAAATTATCGTTTATTTGGGTAATTGATAAATTATCATTTATTAGGGCATTCTGCAGAAACACATGCCTTTGTGGTCAGCAGCTATTTCATTGCAAAGAATAAGCTTTTTGAGAAGAAGTCATCTAAATGATATGAAGCAGCCAGCCCTTCAGTTTGATTTGTGAGGTCTTGCATATTTTGGTAGAGGGCATGATACATGTGAAGGAAGCTAGTTAAGTTGCTTGTTGTAAATGTTTGACCAAATTACTTGCTAAAATTAGAACACTATAGAAGGGGCATAAGCTGTTTGATAAAAACCTGAACATATTGCCATGGTGATTATCCATGTAGTCTAAGTGCCTCCATTAGTATTTTGTTTGCATATGTGCTGTCCCCTCAAGATGGAAAGTTTGTACAGTTGAAAATTTGGTCATCTCCTGCCCCACCTCCTTTCTCTCAGTAAAGACAGGAGTCTGTGTTGCTTTGAAGATGACAGGTCACTAACAGTTTTGTCTTGATCAGGTTGCCCTAGATAATGCTTCTTGTGATGCTGTTGTAGTATCACAGACCTGCCCAACTTCTAGCTACAGATACATCCCGTATCCTATCTGCCAGTCCCATGCAGATGTGTCCAGTATCCTAGCACATCTGGATTGGCAAGACATTTACATGGGGCTCACTGAATGGCTTTTTTTTTTTTTTTTTCCTTTCTTGCACTCCAGAGGAGAAAGTACGAAATTTTTCCACTTTGTCCTTTAAGGAGAAAAGTCAAGGAGCTCATTTCGCAGAAAGGTAGAATGGATTTTAGCAACAAACCTTATCATAGGATGTTCTACTGAGGAAAACTTGGCTCTTCTCATTAAGCTTTAGGCAATATAATGTTTTGATTGCAGTACATGCTGGAAGAGCATCCTGATTAATCCTTTAAGATTACTGGTGTTTCTAGTGTCAGTACAATACCTAATTGCCAGTATCTTTACAAAAATAAATCTTGTTTATAGATAGCTTCATAGTTATATGAATTATGTAATGTATGTATTTATTTCCTAATCTTATTTATTTCTTTAATTTTAGGAAGCAGAAAAAAGGAAACAACAAAGAGAAGAAGCCCAGCGTTTGTACAAACAGAAGAAAATGGAAGCTTATAAAATATTGAGTAAGAAAACAAAAAGAGGACAGCCAAATCTAAACTTACAAGTGGAGTTTCTTCTTCAGAAAATACAACAAAATGCATAAACCTTTGCACACATCTTAATTGCAGGTTTTGAGTTACCTGTGGACACTTTATTAAATTACTTTTAATAAATGATATCTTTACTTCTGTATGACTTTTGCTGTTGGTTTATTTTATCTCATCAGTCCAACATTGGAGGATATTCATAATGAAAATAGGTATTCTGTGCTGAGAGAGAGAGAGATTTGATACCTTGAAAATAAATGGTCTGTATTTCTAAATTTAAATTCTGTTAGCTAAGTAATATCTTGTGAATTCCAAATCATTAGAGCCTAGGACCATTTGAACATGAATTTGCATAGTATAAAGCTTTTTTTTTCTAGCTCTAACACTTCCTGCAATTGTGATTACTAAAATTATACTTACTTGAGAGGAGTGAAATGATAAATGCAACATAATTGATACCTCATGAACTGCCAAGGCTCAGAGTATGTTTTGTGTGCTGTTGAATGCGGTGTGGCATATGAAAGCAAAGAATATAAATTATACTCAGAGGGTTATTATTAGTCATTCTCCTGGACTTAACATATACTTTGTGCTTGGTGATAACATCTTTAGTCTTTTTATTCCATGTTCTTGGTGATAGTTAACATGAAACAGTTTTTCTGATGAGGCACTGAAAATGCCTCCTTCCCCTGTGCTTCAGATAACCTGATCAGGCAGAGTGCATAATAAAAAAAGCACTGAAGTACCTGATCTTGGCCCAGCATTGCTGGTTTCAAGGAGGAGGAGAAGTTTCTGTCATTTTTCCCCAGCACTTTCCCTCTTTCATAGGTTTATTTGATTTGGAGATAAAAATGGCTTGTAGGTAAGCCTTGCTTCTCACAGGCATTCATATGAGAGATGTTTTTCCCACTGGAAGTTTTTTTTATGTACCAGTTCTAAAAGGAAGATGTTAAAATGGGATATTTCCTGATACTGTCCTTTGCTGATTACTGTGACATAGCAGCCCAGCATAGTAGTTGTCAGAAGCCAGAGCACTCCAGTGTCTCAGCTGCTTCATGAGCCCACACTTCTGCACTGCCAAGCCACTTAAATTACTTTGGTACCACTGGAAGGGAGCAACACAGCAGTGGTGATGCGCTGTGGCTCAAGGTCATGCAGGTAGCCAAGAGAATGGAACCTTTGCTCTCATTTGCCGAGTAGCACTGTAGCAGTTGACCCATCATGTTTGTATGGAGAAAAGCGTGAAGAATGAAGGGAAGGGATCTTTTAAGGAAGGAAATAAAGCCCAGATTACTTTTTTTGATGTGACAATTAGGGAAATAGTTCAGTAGCCAATATGAGTTCATGGAGGCTGCCTGTAAAAGCAAAGCTGCTGCTTTCAACTGTGTGTTTTGATTTTAAATGTGAGAAGTTAGTCCAATGTGATACTAAACTTGTATTGGTTTTTTATTAAACTTTGCTGTGATTTTAAATGTGAAAAAGAGCAGCCTAAATCCTGTTTCTGTTTTTTGTGGTTTAGGCCCAGCTGGTAACTCGGAACCATGCAGCTGCTCACTCACTTCCCCCCTACTTTCCCTGCTCTCCCTGAGGGATGGGGTGAAGAATCAAAAGAATGTAAATCTGACGGGTTAAGAACACTCCAGTAACTAAGGTATAATACAAAGCTACTTCTACTACCACCAATAATTATAATGATAAGGGGAAAGGGAACAAGACAATAAACATAAGTGATGCACAATACAATTGCTCACCACCCGCTGGCCAATACGCAGTCTGACCCGAGCAGTGATCTAGGCCTTCCAGGTAACCCCCCAGTTTATATACTGGGCATGACGTGTTGTGGTATGGAATACCCCTTTGGTTAGTTTGGGTCAGGTGTCCTATCTCTGCTTCCTCCCTGCTTCTTGTGCCCCTCCTCCCTGGCAGAGCATGAGACTCAGTCCTTGGTCAGACTAAACATTACTGAGCAACAACTAAAACCATCGGTGTTATCAGCGCTGTTCCCAGGCTGAAAGTCGAAAACACAGCACTGCACCAGCTACTAAGAAGAAAAACGACTGCTACTGCTGAACCCAGGACACTCTTCATGGTATTTTTGGTGGTTTGTTTTTTTTCCCCTACTCACACTCAACCTCTCTAGCAGCTTGTTTTCTATTCTCTGAAAGCGTGCAGATCTCAAGTAGTTATGTCTTCTTTCCAGTATATCTTCTGAATAAGATGAAGTGGAACGGATAGATAGGGCTGCACAGTTTGAAATTCTGTTCTCCAAGTTGGATGATCGGTGAATGCAGGCAACTTTAGACGTTTTACTATTTTCATTTTCTTTAATTATAGACCAGTGAAACTGTGAATCAGAAATAAAGGGGAGAAGAAAGCATCAGGTACAGACATTAATTTTCTCTTTTCAATCCTGAGGAAGAGAATGTGAAGCTTCCCTTGCTCCTTTTGCAGGGTAACTTCTTGGGGAAATCATAATAGTAATTTCAATGGATTATCTCACTAAGCCGGTTTTGACATAACAGGGACTTTCTCAACCCATACCCATCTAGAAATACTTATTTTTTTTTTGCCACTAATAGGAAGAAAACCGAGCCAAAACATCCTTTCACTGTTAAGATACTAAGGTTTTGGCAATGTGGACTTGGATTTTTCTTTTTAATCTTTACAGTCTGATAAATTATGCCTGTACTAAGAAAGGTTAAGAACATTAAGTAAAAAACTTGATGTTATTCTCAGCGTCTGTTTCTGCTTTCATAAAGTAATGTTTTAAGTCATTAATCAAAGAGTTTAGACGCAATTTGAAATGTATTAATGAACAGAAGAAGTTTGAGCATAAGAAAAATGTAAGGACACGACAGAGCTCTGAAATATCAATTTGCCGTATAATTTTATTAACTGATGCATACCTTCTGGAAGTTAGTGACGGGAGTAGTTAATGAATTGAAAGCCATGCAGCAAATTTGCTGGCTTCCCTCTGAAGAAAACCTTTACGGGATATGTAAAAGAAAAAAACAAGTAAAGTAGTTCAGTTTGAACTCTTAGTAAAATAGTTGGTCTATTTACAAAGCTGCTGTGTAACTTGACCTACAGCATGCTAATTGCTCTAACTTTTGTCTACAGCTCTGTCGTGTCTCTCTTTTGGGAAAATATGTAAAGCCAGGCTTGAAAATAATTATCCAAATTGCTATTAATTAAAAACTACATAGAAAACAACAAAGTTGATGACAGAGCTATAGATAAAAGTTAGAGCAATTAGCATGTTGTAGGTCAAGTTACACAGCAGGTTTGTGAATGGACCAATAAGAGCAGTGGTTCTGTAGCTACCAGCAGAATTAGTGATGGCTACTTCAAAATGAAGTAGCTGTCCCTAATAATTTGGGAAGCTATTTAACGTTTTAAAAAGTTAAAACTGTAGTGTAAGGGATAGTATGTTTTAGGTAAACAGCCAACTCAAATCAGTTACACATTATGGCTTAGATGTCATTAAGGAGACCCAGATGATGAAACATGTACAGTAGCAAGATAATGCTAGATTATGGTAAGGCCTTGATGTTTCATTCAATCACTAATGTTTAATGTTTATGTTCAATTTCTTTTATTGTCACATTAAGCTAGAAAAAATAAATAGATTTGTTTTAGAATAGAATCCTAAGAATACTTAATAATACTTAATAATGAATTTTTAAATTTGCTCTTAGTTTCAAGAGCTGGATGTAGTTTTGGATGTAGAAGTATACTCCCAGCTAGTCAGGCTGGTGCTGTTAAAACTTCTTTCCCCAAGAGCTGCATACACCAAGTGCTTATAATTAAAACAGTCTTCAGGCTGATATAATTTATGTTTCCTACCTACTCCAGTTTTGGGTTTGCTCCCGGATGATAGGACTGCAGTATTTTTGTTGAGGATTTTCCAGGGAGGAATGGACGTAGCTGCCCTCCACAGGTGGCTGTCTTACTGGTAGGAAATGCCTCTGGTCTCAGCATTTAGAGCATTTAAGATTTACTGTGCACATACAAGCTCTGCATTCACTGCACACAGTATGTCTGATCTGGCCCCAGAATTATGGCAGGAAGCTTTACAGCTGATCTGTACAGATACTGAGCATTTAAAGCTTTGAGAAATTTTACTGCTGTTTACATACATGGCACAAAATTAGCTTGCTCAGCATCCCTGACAGTTGGCAACACAGTGTTCAAATCTGCATCCACATTACTAGATATTTTAAAGTTATGTGAGAATGTTAGGTCATCAAACTTCACCAGAAGACATTACTGGATGCAAAAAGTCCACCAACACCAAATATTTCACAACCCTACCTGTTAATAAATTAAGGTCAAGATTATTTTCTTGTAAGTGCAGTTGCTTTTGCTTTGGTGTCCTTTTTCAGTTTGTATCTTCTGATGTTAGCTGAAAACATCTGCTTTCTTCACTAATGATCATGAAGCATTTGTCTGCTGGAGGTAGGATGTCTCCTCTCAGCTATATAAAGCTGTAATATGAAATATTTTATATTCCACTGTAATCATTAATGTGTGATTTTGTCATCTCAGAGAAATATGATATAATATAATCTCTGCTTTTGAATACAGCACATACATTTCATTCTCCAAAGACAATGCAGTGAAAGCTTTTTTTAATGCTTTTTTGATGTCTCCAAATAATGATCTGTCTGTAGAAATTATAGGTATAAAAAGCATTAACTCATGCAGTATCATAATTTCTACTGATATTTATGGTTTTTTTTTCCTGCTATTTATTTTATTTTGGGATTTCCCCCCCCCCCCTTATAAATAGTATAAATAAAACTGGTACCTTAGGTTGAAAATGGGATTTGGATTTAATGAAGTGAACAGTGTTCTTTTATAAATAATCTATTGTGTATTAAAATACACTTAGTGGTTGATAAACCAATGCACATTAGAATATCAATGTATTCAAAGTTTGTTTTTTATAATTGCTGTATAGGTGCCAACATGTTGGATTGCGTTACAGATTTGAAAATACAAAACAGTATTTCATATCCACTGTGCTCAAGATTAAAACAGAGGAAAAGGGATATAAATTACGTACACATCCATGCCCACATATAGGTATCTCTAAGCAGTTGACTGATTTTCAGGTAATTAATTAGGATGGCCATTTTTAAT